TTTTGCCATTGAAAAGGCTGAGACCTCAGGGGATCCCTGCTCTGACCTAGGTCACACGGCGTGGGGGTGACAGGTAGACTGTGCACAGGCTTGACCCCTACTGCTCTCAGGTCACATCTAGGACTCTTTCCAAGTACGCCCTGCCCCTCCTCCACACCCAGAGGGGTGAAAAAGCATCTTAAAGGGTGGAAAGCCATTTCCAGGGATCAAGGACCAGAATTTAGCACATTATGATAATGGCTCCCTTTCTTTCTCTGGAGAAGGAGAGTGCCTGCCTCAGTGTTGACCACTCACCTTCAGCGAGAGCACTGGGGCAGTGGCTGAGCCCCGTGAGCCAGGTCATAGCCCACAGGTGGCATGCACCGCCTCTGTGGCCTTCCTGCCGGTTGGGTGGGGAGGAGTGTCCGGGGAAGCAAGTCTGGTGGACTAAGGAAAAGGAGCGGGAACAAGTGTGGCTGCGAAATGAGAACTGAGGCGTCTGCCCTCGGCCTGGCCTGGAGAGACAGCTGCGCCATCAGTACGAACTTACTGTCTTCATCGGGTGTGTTAGTGTGTCCTGCACTAGAGCCATACGTGGTCCAAGCACCTTCTCATGGGTTGGCAGCCATGGGGAGAAACATGCAGGGGAATCAGGAGTAGCTTTGGGCAGCTGAGCCCTGTGCAGGGCCAGTGGGCCATGTCTACTTTCTGCTCTCCTGGGTCATCCACAGGCCATTTGCCTGGAAAGCCCAAGGCTGACTCCATCATCTTCACTCCAGCGTTCAGTCAACCCCAGGAATAAAGAAACTTGGAGAGGCCGCCGAGATAGCTCAGTGGTCTAAAGTACTTGCTTAGACAAGCGCACAGGGACCTTGGCTTGATAGCTGGCACCAATGCTGTGCCAGCCTGCCCCACCAGGCTCTGAGCACAGCGGGTACTTCCTCCAGGCTCTTGTGGGTCTTGAGGACCTCCCCACCCAACCGGCAGGAAGGCCTCTTGAGAAGGGCCACCAGGGAGCGTGTAGGGAAAGAATGTTCATTTTGTTGCTTGGTGAGTTTTCAGAGTAACCTGAATTCTACTTCTTCTTCACCATTTTCTATTTTGTGCTTTGGCTCTCAAACAGCACCCAGAGAACATTCACAGAAGTCAAAAGTCACTCACAGAAATTAAGTGATCTTTAATTGCTCACAAACTTGATGGTCCCGCCAAGTCCAATTGGTAGTCTGCTCTCCAATGTTTTCTTTTCTTTTTTTTAAATTTACCAATTCTTTTTTTTTTTTTTGCGGAACCGGGGATTGAACTCAGGCCCTTGCGCTTGCCAGGGAAGCGCTTATTCCACTGAGCCATCTCCCCGGCCCCAGTGTTTTCTTTTCTAGGTCTCCCTCATGCATGTATGGTTCCCCCTTGAGGAACAGCCTCTCTCACTTTCACAGTGCCACATTTGCTTGTCTTCCTGAGCATCCCCATTTCTTATGCTCATTTGCTGACTCCCCCTCACCTCAACCTTGACCTTTCATCTTCATCTGGAATGAGTTTCTTTGTGACCTCTCTGAGACCTGTAGCTTTACACACCACCTAAAGGCTGATAGCACAGTTTCTCCTTCCTCACCTACCACTTCTTCTGAGTCCAACCCATCTCACCACCTCTTCCAGGATATCTCACTAAAATCTCAAAACGTATCCAAACTGTCACCTGTTAGTTTCTACCACCAGCCAGGCCCTCCCTGGCTCCTCTCATTCCACTGAGAAAGCCCGCACCCTGGGAAGCATCGTGACTCCCCCTTTGTGCTCCGAGAGCCCTCCATCGGCCAGTTCTGTTATTAGTGTGCTCAAGGGCTAGGGAGATGGCTCAGTGGAATAAGCGCTTCCCTGGCAAGCGCAAATCCCCGGTTCTGCAAAAAAAAAAAAAAAAAAAAGTGTGCTCAAAATGAGTCCTAAACGCAGGCCCTTTCACTGCTGCCTTTCCTCCCTACCTGCAGCCCTCTCTCTCGCCTGGGCCATTGCAGCCCCTCTGCGCTGGTCTTCCTTCCTGTTCTCTTGCTTCCCCTTTCCCCACCAGCCAATCACTGCAAGGTGAAGACCCAAGTCAGACCGGGTTATTTCTGCTCAAATCCTGAAGCACTCTGCACTCAGCATCTTCCCTGGGGTGTGAGCTGCTGTCCAGCACCTCTATGTTGTATCACCTCACTCCTGCTGCTTCTCCCCAGGCGCACTGAGCTCACTACCATCGTTGCTTGCTGTGCGAGGCTGCTCCTCCCTCAGGACTTTTGTCTGGGTTGATCTCCTGCCAGACCTCCGAAAGGTGGAGATCCTACCCCACTTGGTGCAGATGTTACCTCCCTTGAGTGACCTTTATTATTGTCTTTATTTTTTCCTTCTGATGTCCTGGATGGAAACTCAAGGTCTCATACAAGCTAGGCAAGTGCTGTACCAGTGGGCCGTGTCCCCAGTCCTTTATGCAGCATCCGAATTCTCTCTCATCCTACTGTCTTATCATTCTGCGGTGTAATCATCTCTAAGTGAAACTGCATTATAAATCTGTTCGCTTATTCCTTTTATGTCTCATAAAGAAAAGAAGTTCTAGGACGCAAGGAACTTGTGACCTCCCCCAAATTATATTCCCAGCAGCCACCAGATCAGTGCCAGTGCTGTGTATGCTTAGCAAATACCTGTGGAATGAATGAATTTGCTCTTTTGTCAGATCTTTAAAAATTTGTCTTGTGAGGCTGACCAAAGGATTTCTTTTAGTAAGATGAGTAATTTTGCCTTTCACTTTCCCTGTAAGCACAAATATTTGAGTGTGAGGGCTCTTCCTGATGGCACCTCCCTTCATGTCTATTATATACGGTCTTAACTAATCTCAGCGTTGGCTTCCACTGGAGCTTAATTCAAGCTCCAGTCTATTCCTGCTGGAGACTCACGGCCCTTTGCCCTCCCCTGCTCCCGTCTTGCTGGCCATGTTGCTCTCAGAGATGCCTTCAAGTCCACAGGACAGGGCTGTGCTTTCCTGTCATCATCTGAAACAGAGCAGAGGCGTGGAGGCTTACGTTAAAGTCCCAGAGGACTTCCTCTCACCCCTCCAGTACCTCTTGAATCTAGGATGTGGGTTAGGAACTGTGGTCCCTTTGTGGCCATTAAGGACACAAAAATGGATGTCACCTTCCAGTTCTAAGAAGTTCACAGGCCAGGGGGAGTAAAAATGATGCAGAGTAATAGGGAGTTATGTGACTCCATGTGGCCTGCAGAGAAGGCGCTTGGGTCCTAGAGGAAAGAGGAGCTGACCTTGGGCAAGGACACCATGCATGGGGCATGGTAGTATGTGAACTCCAGCAAGGATTTTGTGTGGCCAGAGCTTGGGATAACAGGGAGGGCATAAGTAGGGGCAGGAGCAGCAAGAAACTGAGCAGGAAGAGTAGGCAGGAAACACGCCAAGTGGGAACCTATGCATTGTGCGTAGGAAGGCACTTTTATTCCAGGCTACTGTGGGAGCGCTAAATGTAGTCATTCATTCAGCCAATATATTTTGAACTCCTCTTCCATGCAGAGCACAGTGGTAGGCTCTCAGTGTACTGTATTTAATAAGTAGCCACTTCGCTTGCTGTTATTGAGCCAATAATCCATTGGTCTAGGGAAAGTTTGTATAGCAGCTCTTGTCTTAGAGCTATATGAGTAGGAAACTTTATTACTGCCAAAAATGTAAACAGTTTCACTTACAGTAATACATATTTAAGCAAATCATGGTGCTTAAAAGAATATTAAATAGCCATTAAAATGAAGTGAAAGCGCTTATTCTACTGAGCCATCTCCCCAGCCCCCTTATGTA